ACCCATCAAGGAGCAACAAGTAACTATCAAAAGACCTTCCCCATGAGTTTCAGTAGATACAGAGTACATTGAGCTGGAGGGCAACAGGATATGAACTACAAGGTGTGTGACATTGATAATTTATTACCTGCATTTGCTAAGGGCAAGCAGAACGCTGATTTCAATATAAAGCAAAACAGAATGCACATATAATACATATGTACAGAGAATATATTATATACATATGGTTCTGCTTTATTTTATGTATTATTTATATTACATGAATGTATGTGTGTGTGTATATACACACACACACACACATTCTGTTTTGCTACACACTGAGAGACACACGTACACACACAAACACTGCATTGATGGCTAATTAAAAAAAATAAGAATATAGTAAAATACACTTAATGCTGAAGTTAAAATGAATATGATTTAACATTTGGTGTAGAAGCTAGTTCAGGCCTTGGATCCAACAACATGAAGATGGTTTCTGATTTTGTAGTATACAATATAAAAGATCTAGGGGGGGTTGGACTGAATCTTTTTTGACAATGATAAACTTTGAAAGTTGATTTTTTAAAAATCCCAGATGGGGAGGCTAGATAGCTCAATGGCTAGAGCACCAGCCCTGGATTCAGGAAGACCTAGCCTCAGATACTTGACACTTACTAGATGTATGACCCTGGGCAAGTCACTTCACCCCATTGCCTTGCCCCTCCTAAAAAATGATCCCAAAGATCACCTTGACTGGCAGTGAGGCATAGTGGTTAAAAGGCTATTCTCTGAGTTAGGATAGCCTTAGTTCAAGTTCAATACATACAGTATTGATTGTGTGACTGTGGCAAAATCATTTAACCTCTCAGTGCCTTGGCCAACCCTTTAAGACTATAAATCGTAGCTCATTTGTTGATATGACAATCATTGCTGTTTTCTGTGGCAAATAACCTGGCTGAAAAAAACTGATGGATATTTATTTTCTGAATTAGAGCACACACAAAAATCGTACAAGCATATGTTCCTCCCTTCTCTTTTCCTCTCCTCTCTTTTGTAGGGGCACACACACACACACACACACACACACACACACACACACACCTTGTTTACTTTTTTTTTATTGTATCCTAAAAGGTGAGTGGAAAACATAAAAATCCAGTTATTTGAGCATTTAGGTTTTTTGGATTCCAAGTAATTGACTATTTTTGCAATTTTGCTTAATACTTTTTTCAGTAGCTAAAAGAGTCTGGCACTTGGATACACAATTCCTTGCCAATTCGCCAATATTCCGGGAAAGTGATTCATGTTTTAACTAATATTATGCATATATGTGTGTGTATGTGTATGTGTGTGTGTGTATAATACACATATATATATATTATAGATGCATATATGAAGTATATGCATATACATGGCCAAAATCTATGTGTGAGTATATGAATATATGTACATAACCTTTTTTTAACTTGTCATTCTTTTTTTCTTTTCTTTTAAAATTTTTTTCTTTTAGACAAATGCTAAAACTTAAAAGCAAAATAAGAAAAGAAAAAGAAACATGTAAATTGAAATATAAAATAAGAAAAAACAAAAAACGTCATGTGCACAGCAGAACATAGAAGAGGATTCAAATTATATAGAAATAACTTTTCATTTCAAGAAATCCTATATATCAAATACTGTTCATTATGCTGAAAACTGTCCATCTTTTCTTTGTTTCCTTGTAGGTTGTCTTTTGTTCTGTGCTGTACACTTTTTACTTTGTTCTTTTCTCTCCCTCCCTCCACCTTACCCAACACTCCAAGGCTACAGTTGAGCACTGGATATATTTATATATAGGTGTTGAGATATCTATATCTATGTATATAGATATATACTATCTCAATACCTATATATATATATATATATATATATATATATATACACACACACACACACACATATATATATATACTCACACACACACTTATACATGTATACACATACATACATATACTTTCTCTAAGAGATTCTTTTCCTAATCTTTGTTTTTATGTTTGTGCGTATCTCTTTATTTTTCCTGTCTCTCCTAACTACTCTACTTTACTTCTACCTGCTACCTTACCCTCCTATTACTTAACCTACCCCCACTCCAGCAATCCTTCCCTTATCCTCCCATTCCACTCAATCTAATCCCCCTTCTAACTTATTCCCACACCCTCCCCTCTAAAGATCCCTTCTTTATCCTCTCCTCCCTCTCTATCCCCTTAGAGTTTTATTTCTTTCTAAATTTAGAAGATTTTCATACTCTTCTAAATGTATATGTATTTCCCCCTCTTAAACCCATTCCGATGAGAGTAGGTTTCCCAAACTAACAGCCCTTCTGCCCCCTCTAATTCTTCTGTATTTGTTCTTCCTCTTGCACCTCATTTGTAAAAGAGAATTACTCTTTTAGCTGTACTTGAGTGGTTTTACTTTTTGAAGTCATATCATACTCAAGTCCACCTCAATCTTCCTTATAAGCTGCCTAATTACTAATAACAATCATAGACATAGGCCTTACATTTTTCATACATAAAAGGTAAACACTCTATACTTTAGTCCCTTGTAATTGGTCATTGGTATGTACCTTATATTTGTCTTGGCTCTTGCATGTTAAATCTTCTACTGAATTCAGGGTGTGGGGTTTTTTTTTTGTTTGTTTTTGTTTTTTTAACAAAGACCTGAAAGTCTGACAATTGATCAAATGTCTGGTTTTTTTTTTCCATTCAGAATTATGCTTAGCTTTGCTGGGTTTGATATTTTCATCCAAAAGCCCAGTTCTTTTGCTCTTTGATATACAGTGTTCCAAGACCTGTGATCTTTTAGTGTCGCTACTGTTAGGTTTTGTGTGATTCTGATTGTAGTAGCACCATATGTAAATTGTTTTTTTCTTGTTGTTTGTAATATTTTGTCTTTGGTCTGGGGGTTTCAACATTTGACTATTATATTCCTGTGAGTTTTCCTCATAGGATCTCTTTCAGGTGGCGATCTGTGGAGTTTTTCTATTTCTACTTTCCCCTCTTGTTCTAATGCTTCAGGACAATTTTCTTTAATTATTTCTTGTATTATTGTATCAAGATTCTTTTTTTTTTCTTTTTGGTGAGGCAACTGGAGTTAAGTGACTTGCCCAGGGTCACACAGCTAGTAAGTGTCAAGTGTCTGTTTGAATTCAGGTTCTCCTGACTCCAAGGCCAGAGCTGCATCCACTGTGCCACCTACCTGCCCCAAGATTATTTTTTTAAAATCAGAACTTTCAGGTAGTCCAGTTATTCTTATATTTTCTCTTTTTGATCTGTTCTCTAGATCCGTTGTTTTTCTCATGAGATGTTTCACATTCTCTTCTATTTTTTCATTCAGTTTTTATAGGCACCGCTGGTCCCTGGGGTATGGGGGATGGTGCGGATAATCCTCTTCAATTCCCCCTTCTGACCTGCAAGACCTCCAGCCTCCTATAAATGCCCACAGTAGAGGCATAGCCACCCCACTGCCTCTGCACTCAATGGTCGTGTGCTGGTTCCTTCTTGCCCCCACCTCCTCTCTGCAGCACAGCTGGGGCTGGCGTTCCTTGTCAACCCTGAATTCAGTAGAAGATTTAACATGCAAGAGCCAAGACAAATATAAGGTACATACCAATGACCAATTACAAGGGACTAAAGTATAGAGTGTTTACCTTTTATGTATGAAAAATGTAAGGCCTAGGTCTATGATTGTTATTAGTAATTAGGCAGCTTATAAGGAAGATTGAGGTGGACTTGAGTATGATATGACTTCAAAAAGTAAAACCACTCAAGTACAGCTAAAAGAGTAATTCTCTTTGTTCCCCAGATCAGATGCCCAACTTCCGTCACTGTCTCGGGGTAAAAGTTCCTGTGGCTGGAGCCGAGACAGCCTCTGAAACCAGTTAACCCCATGGCTTGTGGCTTGTTGTTTAAGCACCTTGTCCCTTGTTAAAGCAGACCCTAGCCTGGAGGTGTTTACTCTTCCCTGGGAGGAAATCTTGTCCAGGATTTTCCATCAGATCTTCTCCAATTGTCCCAGGAGGACCCCTCTTCTACTTCTACTCTTATTTGTTTTCACAGCTCTATGTTGGCCCAGAGGAGCTATTTTATCTCTTTCATGGAGGAAAATCCTGAGAGCTTGAAATTTTCTGACCTATTCCACCATCTTCCCAGAATCCTCTCTACATAATCTTTTTAAAGGGATTATTTGTAATAGTGACTCTGGTTTAATGTATGAATTGGTGTGTTATTTAATGTATCTTCTATACATGCCCAGATTGTCTGTTTCTACCAACCTGTGTTCTGTGTGTCTATTTTCAAACATTTCAGACAGATGATGATCAAACATCATACTTTGGCACTCAATTCACATGTGGTTCTTTTATGTATAACTTGAGGTCCTTAAGGATGTTTATTTTCTATATTGGAACATTATAATATAATAGACCTAACAGGCACATGGGTGCCCAGTCATTTTGGTTAATGATGGTTGTAATGTGGCTCCAGGGTCACCTTGCTGTAACTGCCACAGATTCAGATGGGAAAAAAAAAAGTCACTGGTATTTTATTCTCATCATTTCAAACATCTGTATATCTAGAAATAGCTGGAAAACATTTGATTGATTTTTTTTCTTACCCAGATGTCTAGAGAGCATTAAACTATACTAAGGCTAAGAATTCAAAAAAAATAAATAAAGTACATGTCTTGGGACCCATTGGACATTCCTATTTAGAGATCACTAGCAAATTCAAGTGTTTCTTCCTTTTATAGTTGGAAGGCACTAAAAGTAGCTACCCATACTCCACCTTCCAAAATGTGCAAAGTAGACAGTAAGTATATAAGAAGGATTCCCCTGGTGGCAAGCTGTAAGGAGAGGCTTACCAGGCAGCCCTTGGAAGAATTTTAGGCATGCTTTCTTGCAGGTTTTGCCCCCTTCCAATGTCCTCCAATAAGGTTTGAGGATGGATATTAGGCTGCTACACTGAGGCCTGAGATGATTCATACATGTATATAAAGGTAGCCTTCTCTCTCCCTTTTCCAGTCCAAGGAAAGCAAGTGCGTTAGAATCGTATATTCATAGATTTAGTCCTGGAAGAGATCTTAGAATCTTTTTGGCCCACTCCATTTTACATTCAAGTGAAGAAACTGAACCCCAGACAAGTCACATGGCTTAGATTAGCCATGACTTTCTTTCCTTTCTCGGGGGGGATGGTAGAATGTCTGCTCAGTATTTCCTAATGCCCTAGAGTTTGGAGGTGGAGGGAAAAAAAATACAGAGGTGTGGAGATTGTGATTCTTTAATCATATGCCACCAAAGCAGAGTGGATAAAATTGAGTATAATATACAAATATTAATCTTGGAAACAGCAGTAGGCTCCAGGAGCCTGTGTAGTAAGGGAGTAGGGATTAGAAATATGGTTCTGCTACGCAGCTAAAAGTGTCCATAAATTGCCTCCAAGATGAGCTGCTGCTTTGTGTCTACCTGAGCAGGTGTCTTGCAATCTGTGGTTCTCCTGGTCTATGATTAACAATTCAGCCAGGTCTCTGAGGGAAAGGTAATGTTTATTTTATTCATGGAAATCTATTTAACATGGATTTATGTTATTTTCAGATTATTTTACAGGCATTTTGTTTCTTTAGTAGAAACCTATCTTGTGGGTTTCTGACTAGTTCTTCATTAAAAACTCATTTCAAGTGAACAGAGAGAAAACAGAATACCATACTTGTTAGCAGAATTTTAAATTCTGATTAATGAATGTCTGACCTGTGGGACCCACATGATTACCATGTTGGGTTATTCATATCAATACTTGCATTTAATTAAACTATTGCCTTTTGAAGGTTGCATAGGCCTAGTAGACAATTATTTTAAATTCTCATTTATAAATACTGCCTCTCCTCAGGCCTTCCAAATTTTGCTCATTCCATTCCACTTATTCATTCATTCATTCAACAAGTATTAATTAAGTACCAGACACTATATATACTAACTGGTGGGATACAAAGGTAAAAAAGAAGCAGTTTCTACTCTCAAGGAGTTTACCTTCTATTGGAAGATAAAAGACTTTTATATAGATAAGTAAATACCAAATACACACAAAGTAAATCCAAAAGCAATTTATAGAGTATCAGGCGATAGCAAACAAGGGAATAGGTTAGGCCTCTTGTAGGAGGGACATTTTAGGTGAGCTAGGTATTCTAAAAGAATTCTGGAAAGTAGTATGATACAGCAGAAAGTACCCAGCTCTGGAATCAGAAGACTTGGGTTCAAATCTTGCTACTGATTCTTACTGTGTGACCTTGGACAAGTAACTTAACCTTTCCTTATGTATAAAATGAGGTAATTTACCTAGATAACATCTGAGGTCTTTCCTAGTTTGAGATGTAGGATCCTTCAGGACTTAACTCACATCCCATCTCATTTATGAAACCCTCCTTAACATCCGGAGTTTACGCCCACTTTTACCTTTTCTTGTATTCTGAGGGCTTAGCATAATTACTGGCACTGAGGCAACTGACGGTGCAGTGGATACAGCACTGAGCCTGGAGTCGGGAAGACCTGAGTCCAAATCTGACCTCAAATGCTAACTGTGTAACTCTGGAGAAGTTATTTAACCTCTGTTTGCCTCAGTTTCCTCAAGTATAAAATGATGATAATAAGAGCACCTACCTTATAGCCATCTTGTGAGGATCAAGTGAGATATTTGTTAAAACCAAAAACAAAAACAAAAAAAAAGTGCTCAGTACACAGGTTCTATATAAACGCTTAAGCACTTAATAAATGCTTTTTGACTGCTGACTCCTTAACTGCCATTCACTTCAATAGGCAACTACTAGGGGCAAAATATTGTGTCAGGTCCTAGGAAGAAAAAGATAAAAATGAAACAGTTCCTGCCCTTAAGAAGCTTATATTCTGCTGATCATTTTCTCCCAGCGAGACTAAAAAGTTCCTTGCAGGGAAGGACCGTATCTTTCTGCTGGGTGTTTTATTGTGCTGAGTAAATGCTCATTTATAAATGCTTATGTTAGACCAAAGTGCTGCATATTGAGTATCCTCAGGCTTTTCTGGAGTATAAATAAGATCAGCTAACTTTTTTCCTTTGCGTGCATCTCACTAAAGTGAAAGCAGCCTGTCTATGAAAGGGCCACATAAAAATATAGAGAAACTTACCAGTGATGGGTTCGTTGCAAGCATCACATTTCAGGGCGTAAAGGTCAGCATAGCAATCTTGGCAAAATGGATCATCATCTCTGGAAAAAAAATTTTCTCCATATAGCTTTTTCTTGCAGCGAGAGCACAGAAAGCAGTCCTTGTGCCAGGGTTTGTTGTGGAAAGTCATTCCTCCTACACTTACCACCTAATTTAGGAAAACAGAGTAAACGAACCCGTGAGCCCCTGTTAGATCAGGACGTTTTGATAGTTGCTGCTGTGGACAAAGGGTCCCTTCTAGCACGCTGCCTGGTACGTCGTTGGTGCTATGGAAATGCATATTCCTTTCCCCTTTCTAGCCCGACTCAGTGCTGACTCGGGCAGGTAGATGGCCTAGTGGATGGAGTGCTAGACTTGGAATCAAGAAGACATAAGTTTTAATCTTACTTCCCACGTATACTAGCAATGTGACCTGGGTAAGTTATTAAACCTCTTTCAGATTCAGTTTTCTCATGTATAAAATGAGCATAAAAATACTACTTTCCTCACAGGGTTGTTGAGAGGATTAAGTGAGAGTATGTAAGATGCTTTGTAAACCTTAAAGCACTGCAGAAATGCTAGTTATTATTTATTATTATTACTATTGCTATTGTCTCCATTTGCAATGGGATATTGCCTTCCTTCAAAAACCTGAAACCAAAAAAAAAAAAGGCAAAGCTTCTGAAATGACATATTTTCCCTTAAAATTGAATTCAGTTTAGCAAAGCTTGATCAAGCACCCACTCCACTATTTGCAGTAAAGCAGTTTACAATCTAGTGAGCAAGTTAAGGCCAAAGTGGGGCATACACAAATAGCCCTAAGTTATCATGTGATCCTTTGGCAAAGCCTTTAACCTCTCAGTGCCTCAGGCAACCCCCTAAGACTATAAAGTTGAAGGGCAGATACTTCTCTGCACTGGAAAGAGTGTGTCACCGGGAGCTATCTGTATTGAGGAAATCATAGTTCTGATATTTTTTTTAATGTGATAAATAGAGAATATCAAGCTAGTGGTTTGAAGCTGTATACTCTGGAGTGAGCCCATGTAAACCTTATATGATACATGGAGCAAGATGGCATCTTAGATTGGTCCTGTGAACTTATGCCAATTACCCTGTGAGGCCTCTGTAGAGGATATCTTAAAGCATTTAAAGGCTAAAAAACATTCCATGAGTTCATTTCCTTGGGGTTCATGCTTCTTTAGAAAATTATTTCTGTTATAAGTTAGTTATAACTTTATTTTCTTTTTCTTTTGGAAAGTAAAGATATGAGACAGAGAATGGTGAGATTTTTCTCTGCTTAACAAAAAAATAAAAATAAAAACAACAGCACCAGCTTTAAAAGCTGCTCAGGATAAGTAAATGGGACACATGATGGCAAGAAATAAAGCAATTTAAAATAATTCTCACAGACTTCAAAAAAGGATGGCTACTTTGTGGCAGCCAAAGCAGAATTCAGGGTTTCTTTGATTTGTACTGTAAAGTAACAAGCAATGCTTTAAAGATTGGAAACTCAAATAAAAGTAGTATTCATACCAAATCAGAACCAGACACACATACCAGAAGCTGTTTAATTAGGAAGAAGAAGCCCTGTAGCATTCAGAATGATTTAAATTGGATTCTGGCTCTTAGAGAGAAGTACAGTGGCCTAAGATTAGGCAGGGGAGTTCTACCTTCTCATTTCTCAGGTTGGTTTTGCCCCAGATTGAGCCTGTGGCTTTTAGAACAAGTTTCTTCTTTAATAAAACAAAACTAATAATGCTTTTCCACTCAGTTGATGGTGGGTAATTAAGCGAGAGATCAGAGGATAATATTTTTTAAGTCAAATTTTGACTCCATTTTAACCCAAGGGATTTGAGATTCAGAGTACTTTGGGTCTAACTTTATTTACTTTCAGAAAAACATAAATTTCCACTTTCTAAAATGAAAGCTCATGGCCAACTCTGATAACAACAATAACAAAAGCCATTTTTTAAAGCCTAGAAGTCAAAGGCCTTTGACTGGAAAACATTTTAAGTTTGGCTCACATTGGCCAGATAGATACATATTATTCATCTTGCCTTAAAAGACACATGGATTCTAAATCCAAAGGAAGCCTTTTGGGGGTAGGTGGTGGTGGTGGGACCTGGCAAGGTATATATCCTATTTCTTATCCAATGTAAACACTTCACAATTCTTGACTACCCTGAAAAAGTCCTATATTTAGCCATGAGAACTCCTGGCCCTGCCAAAATGCAGGCTTTCTGCACTGCGGTCATATTTCACTTTGATTAAGCACAGAAGCCCCCACCCCAGGATCTCTTTAGCATGAAAACAAACTGTTCTGTGTGCTTAATACTTTTCTGTCATTCCCATGACTCTATCTATATCTTGGACCAAGTACACAGAACATTTATCTGAGGAACGTCAAATCACTTTTTCTTTTAGACTACAAGTTCTTAACCTTTTTGTATGTGTCAAGAACCTTTTGGCAGGCTGATAAAGCCTAGGAAACCCCTTTCAGAATAATAGTTTGTTGCCTACATTCATAATGGAAGGAAATGCTAAATTTCAACCAGAAGTTAATGAAAATAAAAAAGTAATTTTTTTCCCATCTGAAGTCACAAACCTTCCGAAATTTATACATGGATCCCAAGTTAACAACCTGTCTCTGAAATTAAATTATACCTTTGATTTGAATGAACAGTTTTAAACTATATACGATTGAGGCTGTATATGATCAGGAACCCCATCTCTCAATGAATGAAACAGCTCTCTAAACCAGTGCCATGCTTCCCAAAGTATGCCTGGAGGCCACTGGAAGTCTCCTGTCCTATCCATATGCATTCGGATGACCTTGGTGCCTTTTATTAATGGTAGTGTTCACATTCACATTGAGGAAATATCATTGGTATCTCACCACAAGCAGTGTTCATATGTTCTAGGAGACTTACACTTCAAGATCAAAGGGCTAGGGCAGGGACTCTCTCTACTGATGGAGACTGTTATCCTTCTATAATGTGGTAGATGGGCTTTAAGAGTTTTTTGAAGAGTCTTTAAGAGCCAAAAAGTATATTTCTCTGCAATTAACCTTATGATGCATCTCTCTGAAATTTAGCTAGACTGATCTTTGGCTGACAGATATATGGTCCATTACCAGGCTCATAACTGAGGCCATTCCAGCATGTTTTTGTTGTTTAGTCATTCATATTGGGCTCTTTGTGCCCCCATTTGGGGTTTTCTTAGTGAGATGCCAGAGTGGTTTGCCATTTCCTTCTCCAGCTCATTTCACAGATGAGGAAACTGGGGCAAACAAGGTTAAGTCCAGGGTCACACAGCTAGTAAGCATCTGAGGCTGGCATTTGAACTCAGGTCTTCCTCCACTGTGCCATCTAGCTGCCTCATTCCAGCATGATGGGGCCTGATTGAGTTAATGGCCTTTTGGCATAGCCTTCCAGAGCTCTATGTGACCTCAGCCATGAGAGGAGGACATTAATGAAGAAATGAATAGACATAGGTATAGAATCTATCAGGAAGAATTTATTGAGTAAATGCTGTATTCCTGATACTATGCTAGGTGATGGAATAAAAATAAAGAGAATGAAACAATCCTTTCTCTCAAGAAGTGTGTAGATATGTGTATACATACATATATACTTGTATACACACATACATACATATATGGGTGCGTGAATGTATATTATTCTAGCAGTATATTATGTGTATATGTGTATTTGTTTATGGGGTGGTACACAATGGATAAAGGCATAATAGACACTTTGGAGTCAGGACAATATGACTTCAAGTCCACGTTCCAACATATTCTGCCTTTGTGACACTCAATAAGTCATATAAGTTTCTAAGCGTAGATATACATAAAGCATGGGCTGGATATTCCATTCTCATCCATGGTCTATGTACCCCCTTGCTCTCAGTGGCCCAGGCAACTGTCACAGAGGTTCCCTGAGGGTGCTGGAACAATCTAGGGGAGTGGTAGTAGCCTCGGGTACAAGTTGGGGGCATTGAATAAAAATAAGGGAATAGGAGAAACATAAAGAAGAGAAAAGAAAATTTTGAAAACCTGTTTGTACATGTTTCATCTGTTATGTAACAGAGTTAAAGTCATAGTGATTACATTATTTTCCAAATAAATACACAAAATGCAAGTAATAACCAATTAGTGGTCAAGTCTGCTGATAGGTGTTAACAAGCAAGTATTGGTAGGTGAGCATGTTGCACATTGTCAGGAAGTCCAGCATGTATCAGCAGGAATATGTGCATGTAATGACTTGTTTAAAATATGATAATATACAGTTATGTGACACAATATTGTGTCATCAAAATTTCAATGCAGGAAAAAACCCACAAATTTATAATAAATTATTAAATGTAAGATGTGTTATTATATATATATACATATATATATATATATATATATATATATATTGCATATTTTAAAATGATGCAAATTTAAAAAAAAAAACCCTTAAAGCAAGTATGTTTCCAGGCACTGAGTTGTTGTTTTGGTTTTTTTTTTTTTGAAAAGAGGTTGGTAGGCCAAATAAATTTGGGGAAAAAATCATAAGCTTCATTCAGAACCTTTCCAGATATATATTGATAGAGGAAATTTCTTCACTAGAAAACTTCATTCACTAGTGAAATCACAGATCTGGGCCAATATATATTTACAAATGAAGAGATAGATAGATAGATAGATAGATAGATAGATAGATAGATAGATAGATAGATAGATAGATAGATAGATAGATGAAAGTGAGAGTAGGTAAGGGAAGGGAGTCCATGTAACCTTTTGCCCTAGTAGATCAAAAAAGTTTGAGAATCGTTATTTTAAACCAGTGTGTTGCCATGCCCTGCTGTTCTATCCAAGATTTATATTGTTTTATTCACAAACAAATACTTCACAGGTTAAATGGAGGTTAAACACCATGACTTGGTCCTTAATAGGATGGAGACCAGTTTCATCAAACTAATAAAACAATAGAAATTTTTTTTCCACACAGAAAACCTGGAGGAGAAAAAAAGTGGAATTGAGGGAAGTTCATGCTCCTCAAAATGGACTTTTTTTGGACCAAGGGTTTAGGGGACTATTAAGTCACATCCCCAGGACAAAGAAGCTCCATTTTGTCAGTTCTTCCTTCCTGCTGTCAAGACTAAAGTTTTTCTAATGATTATGTAATTCCCTTGGGCCCAGTGCCCAGTGGCAAACAACTTGGAAATATGAAAGCTTTAAACTAAGAAGTCATTAACATTGCCAGAGTATAATGTGAGGAGTCAAGCATCCTGCTTAAATTGGCTTCCTCCAACACTTTCTGAGCCAAAGCCATATTTCTCTGCATCAGTTACACTCAGTGGAACAAAATTTGTTTTCTAAGAGCTATTTTGTATTCAAAATGCTTTTGGCTACCTCCTTAAAAACAGGAATTCATGTTTCACAGCAGTCAATGGAATTGAATATCAAAAGTCCCAAACTGATTGGGGAGGATGAATTTACCAGTTCTGAGCAACTTTTGTACCTACTCTTACTATAAGAGCACACAAGGTTGGAATTCCTAGAGAAAATGAACAAAGTAGAAGTGTGATATCCTTATCAAAAGTAGCCAGTGACCTCATCTGTGCCCATGTACGTGCATAAATATAATATCTGTAAGCTTATAAGATTCCGTGTTTTCCAAATTTTTAAGGGAATTACCTTCTTGCAAGATTTGCAATATGGAGCAAAATGCTTCTCAAAACAGGGCACACAATAGTTTTTGCTGTCTTTAGTCATTACAGGGTTTTTCCCCATAGGTTGTCCGCAAGACTGGCAAATAAAACAACTTGCATGCCATTCGTTTCCCCTGAATTCTATTTTGCGGGAGCCTGCAAAATGTAAAAATAAAAATTAGAATCTTCTAAGAAACAGTTTAACCATATCTATACCACGTTATCCAGCCTGTTTATGTCAAACTGTTTAGAGAGTATTTTTTTTGGAGTTAAAGAGGATTAGACTGGGAAGAAGGATGGTGGCTTATTTGAATTGGCGCTGTTTATTTCTTGAAAATATATTCTTGTCAACCACCAACAAATAATAGAGTGCTTTTTTTGGAGACACTCTCCAAGTACTGTATATATCACCAATTTGGAAGCATTACCCTTCAGGAAGTAATACAAGTGAAGTGCATGAATAGTTTCAAGTGGTTTGGAGAAATTTGTGCATCTTAGACTCCTGCTAGTTATTAAAGGAGAGGCTAATGATGCTCAGAATCCATCCCTATCTTTTTAAGGATAAATAACCTGCCCTACCACAAAATGTTCATGGTGTCAGTGTCAGGGGCATACTACAGAACTGATTTGAACATTGATGTGCCTCCAAACCAATTGTTTTCTAAGAACCGCAAGACAAACTCTTGCACTCTTCAAGTGAAAACTACTGTAGCCTAAAGAAGGTTACTAGCATAAGAAGGGTTGTATGATTGTCAATGCAGGCATTAACCTATAACTCTGTTCATCCTAGCCTTTTGTCCTTATGAAAATGGATGGTCCATGAAAGTCCCAAAAGTCTGCTCCAAGAAACTGGAGATAAGCCAAATGAAACCATTTAAGCCACTTTTTTCTGATTCTATTCACTCATGCCTTGGATAACTTGGCATATGGTTAGTTACTATGGGGACTTCACATTTATGTTAATACTGCTCTTTGAATTCTTCCCATGACCATACAAATTGGTTTTAGAGAGAAACACATGGTAATATAGTTTATTTATGCCCTAGGAGAAGAGAGTGGTGTTCAGGTTGTGTTCTGGTTTTGTTTTAAATAGAGAAGCACCACTACATGACCTTTGGAAAGGTGCCTCACTCAAAACTAAGGGATAATTCTTTGTGAGCTGCTAGTCTATTCAAGTGCCTGAATTTAATTAAAAACTGTAAGATGACACTTTTATTTAGTGACTGAAGAGTCCTTGTTATCTTACCGGGCATAATGATCTTCTTACACTGGAAGCACTTGGAGGAACACTCATTAGTATAACACGCGGTGCACAGCAAGACTTTATCCTTGACAGCGAAAGGCTTTTCCATCAAAGAGCGATTACACTTGGCACACTTGAAGCAGTCGTCATGCCAATGTAGGTCTTTGTAGGAAAAATCCTTTGAGACAGTAAATAAATGTTAATTAAAAGCATTTGCTGCAAAATAGGCCTTTTTATAAGAAAAACTAAATACTCCCAGGACCCTGGTACCAGTAGGTTGTGCTGGTTGCTTGAGGGAAAAGTTATTAGTGATTCTATTATCTTTAGGGAGAAGAAATCTATGAGCTCATTATGGGCCAAAGCCTGAGGCCTTCTTGGTGGATTACCAAAAGTCTGTGGCAGAATAAGTTGAAGCTTTGCTTGTCCTTCATATTCACTAATACTATGTAGCTAGGTGGTATAGTGGATAAAGCATAGGACTTGGGCCTCAGAAACCTGAATTTAAATGCTACATCAAACACTTACTAGCTCTATAAGCCTGGGCAAGTCACCTAATTTCTCTATGCTTCACTTTCCTCATCTGTAAAGTGGGGATAATAGCACCCATTTCGCAGAGTTGTTGTGAGGACCAAATGAGTTAACATAGGTGTTTTTGCAAACCTTAAAATGCTATATAAGTGCTAGTTATTATTGTTATTACTATTATTAATTATCATCATCTTTCTGTCTATGACTTGAGAGATCTTTTCTTCATAGGAAGTTGGGACAAGTTCTAAAGGGAGGTAGTATTAGTGCCTCCTCTGGACTTTAAATGCTGCAAAGGGGTTAATTGATGCAGCAAGTTAAGACAGTACAGCTGCCATCAAGATTAAAAGTTGGCCCTTAGGACCAGAACACTAAGAATCACAAAGGAAATATTATGCATTACTGTTCAAATGAAAGCATGAAGGAGATATGATTTCAGCAGAGTAGGGAATTCCCAGTATGAGAATTATCTCTGTAATGTGGATTAAAACCCATTCATGATTTAATAGGTAAATTCTGGAAAGATCAGAGATCCACATAATTTTGAGAGTTGGAGGAGACCTCAGTAGTCACTTAGTCAGCCTATACCCAAAAGAAATCCCCACTGAAACATACCTGACAAGTTATCATATAGCCTTTCTTTGAAGATTTCTAATTGAGGAAATCCATCGTCTCCCAAGTTAGCACACTTCACTTTTAGACATAGGTTAACTGTCATGGACAACATTTGAATCCATTTCTTTCTGACTCCTAGCCCTATACCTGTCATGCCTTGTTATCTCTATGCCAATATTATATTGTTAAAATATTCTATATTCATTTGTGGTAACAAAAAACAAAGCAGATAATTCATTTTCTCTGAGAAATATAAAATTAAAATGATGTAAAGTTAAACAATGTAAAGGAACATTAAACAAAACATATAAAATGCATCATTTCTTCTTATTAATTGGTAAGAACTACTCTGTCTCACACAGACCTGTTTATTCATTGCCAAATAACTGTTGCTTCTACTTTTATAATATAATAATCTCAATCAATCCTTTCCTTAGCATTCTCTGTGATAACATACTACTCCAGTACCTCATTTCTGTTCTGAAGAACTATTTAATAGATTTCTAATTGGTTTCCCAGCCTAGTTTCTCCTTGAAAGCATTCTTCACATTGCTCTCAAGTTAACTATTCAAGTTTGGTCATGTTACTCTCCTGCTAAAAACTCATCAAAGCCTTCTCGCTTTCTGGTAACAAAATTCAAATGCCTTAAACTGGCATTCCAAGACTTCTGACACGTATTGACTGTGTGACCTTGGCCCTGTAGGAACTTAACCTCTTAGTGCCCCAGCAGACTCTCTAAATTTATTAATTGAAGTTCAGGGGCTAATTGCATTCCTAGAAGGAGTTCCTTGCTGGAAGCTTCATATAGCAATTAAAGCAAGATCTAGACAAAAAATAACCAATAGAATAGAAAATACAATTTTCTTGGGAGTTTTTTCTATAAGAATGAAGGGGGAATATAACTTTCAGGGTTTAAAATAAGCTATAAATCAATACTAATCTGGTTAAAAAATACAAAGGTAGATTAGTGGAACAGAAGAGATAAGGAAGACTCCGAAACAACTGGGATTGGTAACTCAAGTATGTTTGTAAACCCAAGAGCATAACTTACTTCTTTTGTGACACAAATTGCTGGAGAAATGGGAAAGCAGTCTGGCAGAAATTAAGTTTAGCCCAACATCTCACACCGTGTTCCAAAATAAGATGAAAATAAATATGTGACCTAAGTTTTAAGGTCCCAAGAGACCTCAGGTTGCAGATTTGGCTTAGAATGAGCACTGTCATTGATTACAATGATGCTATTTCCAACTGTCTTGAGAATCACCAACTATCAAGAATCTATGAAAAATCAGTTTGAAACCAAGAGCAGTTGCAGTCAAATAGATTCTCCCTGCCCTGCTCTTTGTTTTTCAGACAGGCTTATTCTTGGTACCTATAATAGCAGCCCATGTGAATAGTGAGGGTCTTGCTAGGTCTTCAAAGCAATGATATCCCCCCCCATCTATATCCTAGGTGGTGCAATAGATAAAACATTGGGCCTAGAGTCAGGAAGACCTAAATTCAGGCTACTGTGAACCCTGAACAAGTCACTTAACCTCTAAGAACAGCATCTACCTCCCAAGGGTTATTATGAAGATTAAATGAGATAGTAATTGTAAAGCACTTAATTAGCACAGTGCCTGGCACAAAGTGAGCACCATATAAATGTTAGCTATGATTATATAATTAATTTAATTGAATAATTAAATTAATTGAATACAAATAATCATTATTATTTTTACCCAAACATCCCATTGCTAGGCATATAGTCCAAGAACCTCAATGATTAAAAAGGTTCCACATACACCAAAATATTTTAGTAGCCCTTTTTGTGGTTTTAAAGAACTTGAAACATAGCAGATGCCTAAATAAATTGAGGTATGTGAATGGAATGGAATATTACTAAGTTATTAGAAACAATGAAAATGTGGTATGGGAAGATTTATATGACCCAAAGCAAAGTAAAATAAACAAATCCAGGAAAATACCATGCGCAAAAACTATAGCCATGAACCATAAATTTTGTTCCAAGAAAAAATATGAGACTATATTTCTCTCTCTTCTTTGTAGAGGTGAAGGACCGTAAGTGTGGATGTTGCATATAATGTCAAACGTTGCTTAAATGTGTTGATTAGTATTGCTGAGATGCTATTTTCACCTCTCTTCTTTGTTATAAGGAATGTCTTTTTGGGACATGGAAGAGTCAGAGAAAGAGACAGAGACAGAGATACAGAGAGAGAGAGACAGACAGAAACAGAAAGAGAGACAGAGAGAGAGAAATAAAGATGATAGATAAAAGTTTTAATAACATTTTAATTAAAAAGATATTAAATTTCAATTTCCCATATGAAGAAGGACTGTATTGCACTGTATAGATCCTTTGTGGACGATTTTGGGAAAGTATGTAGACAAGAAGGCCTGGGTGGTCTGCTATCTGCATTGCAAGAGGGAACATATCCATCAAGGAAGGTCATTATGGTACAGTATGTGAAAAAGAGTCTTGAATATGGAATGAGAAGACCTGTTCCTAGCTCTGTCACTTACTACTTGAGTAATCTTGGGGTAGCCAGTGAGGATCGCAAATTCACACATTTAGAATTGGATGGGACCTCAGAAACCGTCTAGTTCAACACCTCATTTTGAAGCTTACCAGGGGTAAGCAAATTTTTCAAGGTCACACAGGTAGTTAACATCATGGATGGGATTTGAACACACTTCCTTTGACTTGAAAGCCAGTAACCTCAGCTTCAATTTCCACATCTATAAAATGAAGAGACATACAACATCCCTTTTCGCTTTAAATCTATAATCCTAGGAGTTATGTAAGTATTCAAATATATGTTTCCCTGTAGTAACCAGAAGTAAAAACTCCAAAGAGCATATATGCATATTGATTGTTTCATTAGGATTTAGTAGATAAATGCTAGGTAGAGTTGCTTGAGTTACAAAGAAATTCTGTGATTTGAACAGGGTCATAAAACTAAATGTCAGAGGTGGAATTTGAACCCAGATGTTGATCACAAGTCCAGCATTCTGTCCACTGTACCATGCTGCTGCCTTGCACATAATAGACACTTAACAAATGTTTGTTAAATTGAATTGAATGCCTCAATACAATCATAGATATTTTCAAATGTAAAGTATGCTTCAATATCTTAAAAGACCTGATTTCATCAGTGGGGATTCCTTTAATGAAACCTCTCCCCAATTATTTTCTTCTTCCTTACAGTAATTTTCTTTTGAAAAAGCCTTCTTTTGAAGCTTTAAAAAGCAATACATGGGCAGAAAGTATTAATTGAAAGTATTCAGTATAACTCCTTTACTGAACTCTCGAATCTTATTTATGCATAGATCAAACTTTGTTACTCCTAAATTAAAACAGAACAATACAATAAACAAAACAGTGGCCCTTTGTTTATCTATAGCAGGAGTTCTTAACCTAGATTCTGTGATCTTGTTTTTTTTCTATATATTTTATAATGATATTTCAATAAAATTGATTTCCTTTAGAACCCGATTGCTTTTATTTTTTTCATTTAAAAACATTATTCTAAGAAAAGGTCCACATTGATATTATTCTGAGAAGGTATAACCATACTACTAAAGGGAGGCTGTAACACAAAAAGAGATAAGAACTCCTAAACTAGGGAATAAAATACAGAATCCTCAGTCTGGGATTTAAGAACTTCCAAAGTCTGTTTTGAGCCTACTCTTCCAGCCTTATGTCATTCCCTTTCACTCACCCTAAATTCCAGTCAAACTAGGCTATTTTTCCCTCCTTTGATCTAATCTTGCCCCCTCTTGCTTCTTGGTATTCACTTAGGCTACTTTTTCCTCAAGCCTGAAACACACTCCTGCTTCATCTCTGTTTAAATCTTTTGTTTTCAGGTAAAGCCCACTCAACTCAGCTGCTTCCTCCTCCATGGATACTTACATGATCCTCTCAGATGAAAATTATTTCTCCTCTGTTAAATTTTCCAGTGGTTGTTTGAATGGTTCTTTTGTTCCAATCATCTCTACCTCGTGTACTAATTTGCTTACATGGCATTCCTTAAATTAAATTGTAAACTACCTAAGGGCAGAAATTGCCCTATGTAATCTTTACATCTATGCTTTACAACTATGTATCCACAGTACCTAGGGTAGTATCTCACATGTATTGGTCCAGACTTGAGATTTCACTGCTGTGAGAAACTCCCTTCATCAATGTGAATGAGCAACTCCTCTATAACTTCTAGTTTAGGGAGTTGCCTGAAAACCTCAAAAGATTAAGTGACTTGTCCAGTATTGCACATCTAGTAAGGGTAAGAAGGAGAACTTGAACCCAAGTCTTCCTGATTTTATTACCAAATGCTGTCTCTCACTTCCATATGAAGGTTCTTTTAAAATTTATTATTATTTATTTTTAACATTCATTTTAAAATAATGTTGATTTATTAATTCTTTCCCTCCCACTTCATCTGCACCCATTGTGAAAACAAGAAATATGTTATCAATTATTATGTGAGCTTTTAATGCACATTTTAAAATTAGATTCAATCAACTGGATTTTATCATGCATATACTATGTATCAGTACTGTGCTAGGTAAAATGGTATAGGTGATGCCTTTTGACTCACATGTAAACTAGATTCAAGTGAGGCAGAATTGCTTTGAAGTCGTCAGCCTCACTCTCTCCTCCAGAGTCATTGGAGTCCAGTGGCAAGGCAAAAGTCAAGAATGACTGTGGATGGCTCTGGATGCAGTGGATAGCCTTGGTGTCTTCAGTGTCTGACCAAGCCCGAAGTGCTCCAGATTGCTTGCTACCACTGCCATCATGGTTCGTTGAAACAAAATATTCACATCTACCTCTTCTGTTAGGGAATTCTTCACATGCTTGGGGTAGATACCCCCTCAACTCACCAATGGGTTTGAGGCCTGTCGGTTACCCTTAACCTAGGTTAGCCTGATTGCTGAAAGAGTTGTACTGGCATATGGCTGCTGTGCATACTACAGCTTTGTGAAGCTACAGGTGAGAGCCGGGTGGCAGTGGACACCAAAGGTGGATGAGCAACCCTGAAAAGAGTTTGGCAGCCCTCACACCAAAGTTACCAGTGCTCCTTGAACACTCAATGGCAAAATTTAGTTGCCTGGAGAAGTTCCTCATTATTGTATGCCAGTTTCGTGATCACATACTTGCATGGGTCCTGGATAATGGACAATGCTCTCATGCTTTTCTAGTCACCAGTGGAGTGAAGCAGGGCTGTGTGCTTGCTCTCATGCTTTCCATCATAATATTTTCAGTGATGTTGTCAGACACCTTCAATGAGGATGAAAATGGCATCAAGGTCAACTACCACACTAACAGTAAATTATTTAACTTTAGAAGGCTATAAGCCAAGACTAAAGTGTAGGGAGAGTTGATTTGAGACTTTTTGTTTGCAGATGATTATACACTCAATGCAGCCCCTGAGGCTGATACAATGAAGAGTGGATTGATTTTCTTCCATTTGTACTAGGTTTAGCCCAACAGTTAACACCAAAAAAGCAGAGGTTCTCTACCAGGCAACACCACATCATCCATATGTGGAACCATTGGTGACAGCAAAGTGAGAATTTTTGAATGCTATGGATAAGTTCACTTATGTTGGCAGCACACTTTCCAGGGAAGTACATATTGATGATGAGGCTGACATATGCATTGCCAGAGCTAGTTCAGCATTTGAGAGACTCCAAAAGAATGTATGAGAGAGAAGAGGTGTTAGGCTGTCTACCAAACTGAGGGTCTAACAAAGCCATTGTACTGACTTCATTGTTGTATGCCTGTGAAACCAATGCCATGCCAGAATTGAACCACTTCCACTTGAGTTGTCTTAGGAAGATTCTGAAGATTACCTGGCAAGATAAGGTGCTAGACACTGAGTGAGGTCCTATTCTTGAGCTAAACTGCCAAGCATTCAAACTCTACTGTACAGAGTGCAACTCTGATGGGGTGGCAACATTGTTTGAATGCCTAATGTATGTTCGCTTAAAAGACTGTTTTACAGAGAATTCATATAAAGCAGGCACTCACAAGGAGAATCAGAAGAAGCTATAACATAAAGACATTCTTAATGTCTATCTGAAGAACTTTGCTATCAAGTTTGAGACATGGAAGACAATGGCACAGGACCACCCAGCATGGCTTGCCTGCATCAAAGAAAGTGCTGTACTTTATGAGCAAAGCAGAATTGTGTAGGTCAAAAGAAACATGAGAGGTGCAAATTTAGAGGCATCTCCCTTCCAGATGGTTATAATGGACTGTTTGTGCCCAACCTGTGGTAGAGCCTTCTTAGAGCTCATATTGATATGATCAGCCACAGCCAGACACCCTGTACATTGACCCCAACATCACGATGTCATTTTGGTTCTTTTACACTGTGAAGGACCAGCAACAACAACAAAAAAAACCAACAACTGTGCTAAGGTATGGGAATACAAAAACAAAAATTAAAAAGTGCCTTCAGGGATACATAAAGGGACATATGTGCATAGAACACATAGGGGATAGGGACTGGACCTATGATTTTTCATTTCCAAGTGAGAAAATTCCCTCCATGGTTCCCTCCATAAGGTCAGCACCTTCTCTGGAACTTACTCTTTAAAAGTTGCTTAGAGTACTGAGAAGTTAAGTGTCTTGCCCAGTTTTATCTAGTCATCGTGTGTCAGATATGAGACTTGAACCAAAATCTTCCTGGCTTCTAGGCTAACTCTCTATCCACTATACCACACTGTCTTTCCATACTCATCTACATCTATATACCTATATTTGAATATAGATATATTTCTTTGCATATATGTATAAGTACATTCAAAATAGATACAAGGTAATTGTGTAGGGAGGCATTAGCATCTGGGAGTATGAGGAAAAGCTTCATGTAGGAGGTGATGTTTGGGCTAATCTTGGAAGGAAACTAGGCATTCCATGATAAATGCATTCCGGGCAGGAAGGATGTGGAATGTCACCTGTCAGGAATAGCAAGAAGGCTAGTTTGGCTGGACCATAGAGTGCGTGAAGGTTAGTGGGAATAAGGTTGAAAAGGGCTTAAATACTAAACAAAGGAGTCTGGACTAGAATCTAGTGTTCTTCAATGTTTCTTTGACATTTGTGATGGAAGTCATTTAAAGAGTCGGTGCTGTTCTGTGGTCAGTGGCAACACCTTAGTAATATAATGATTTTAAACTCCCTCTGTTTGAGAGCAAATAGAAAATACAAAAGGCGGTTCAGTTTGTTAGCTTCTGACATCCATTTTTTGGCATTTCAGTGAGTTCTACAACCAAGGAATAAGACCCCAGTGGAAAAGGGAAAGGCTCACCCTTGAATAATACCCAATGGTTCCCTTGCACTTCTCACAGACGCTAGAAAAGAGCAGGTCATAACAAGGGATACAGTAAGCCTCGTCGTTCTTTACTGTATATTCCTTTCCATAAATTGATTTCATGCAGTGTAGACACTCAGTTGGAGTTGTCATTTTGGAGTTGATTCTGTTGAGGAAGAAATGAAAAATGCAGTGAATAAATTATATGGATATATTTGTTTACCTTTGAGCCAGGAATTTTTGATATCACTTCAGCTTAGCACATTTCCTAAAGGAATGAAGTCAGATTCAGAAGGAAAAAAAATGTAGGCACATACTCATGGTGGTACTTAGACCAACTAAAGGTAGTTCATGTATCCTGGCTACACATTCTATTTCATAAGAGCAGTTGACTAAATACATCAAGTCGGTAGCCAGTTGATTACAGGGGTCTTGTACTTACCATGCACAGAAACTCCAGCCATCAGTGGACAGTTCTGTTTATATTGAAATGAGGAAGTTTGCCCACATGGGAATAAATATAATCTGCTAACATTTCCCTCAGTATGTTATCACTTGTGGGAAAGTTCAGGAGGTTGAATTCTATAGGAATGTTGGTATTTCCCTATTTTTCCAACTTAAAATGGAATAATAGTTAAGATACACTGTCATTTCCCACTTCATCTATTCATTTCATAAATAGATACACTTACTCAGAGCCCAATGCTGTGCTGGTTTATAGGATATATAGACTTAGCACTTGAAAGGGCCTTGGAGGTCATCTAGTCCATAGCACCTTCATTTTACAGATGAAGAAGTGAAGACCACAGAGGTTAAGTGACTTGTCCAAGATCCCACCGCCAGTAAGGGACTAGTCCAGCAAAAGCCAGGTCGTGTCATTTCAAATTCAATGCTCTTTTGATTGTGCTATACTTCTTTTCACATTGTTTACTATGGGCCACAAGAGGAAGTATAGCACACACAATGACAATGACAATACTAATTATAATTGCTGTGATAATTTGACTTTACTGTTACAAAACATTTGTGTATTTTTTCCTATTAGTTCCTTTCAGAAACCCTGGGAATCAGACAGTGCATGTATTATCATGTATTATTAACCCATTGTATAAACCAATCTCAGGGAGCTTAAATTACTCACTCAAATTTGTACAATTCACAAAAGAGGAATTCAAATACAGGTCTTCCTATCTTAAACACAAAGTACTTGCTTCTACTTCATGTCTTAGGGATATTTCCCTAAGATAAGTAAAACATACGTGAATATTTGAAAGATCTATGATTTCATTGGAAAGGGGGTAGGGGAAAGTAGGGGGGAAAGGTGATGGGGAGAGAATATCCCAGTCCACCAAACCAGAGTCTGCGACTAGATAAAACCTAGGGGTTTCCTGAGGTTGTGACTTTCCCAGAGTCACATTACTAGAAAGTGTCACAGGAGGAGTTTGAATCAAGATATTTCTGACACCAAATCTGCCCCTCTATTCACTCTGCCAACCATCCTTTAAGACATACACACAAAAAGTTAAATAACATTAGACAACAAGAATGAAAATGCTACAAGGTAATGTACAAAGAGGTACTGAATGCAGGTAATGAACTATGAGACAGGAAGAATTGAAAGGATAACATGTAGCTTAGAAGAGAAAGTGGTAAACCTTACCAGGAAATGGATTCATTGAAAATTAACCAAACAGAAATCAATGTTTCCATGACATCACAAGTAATATTAGAACAAGATCAAAAGATTGAAAATAGAATAAAAAGTAAGATAGCTTGACTTGGGAAACAGGACAAGGAGAGCTGATTTAAGAATCATTGGACTCCTGGAAAACCATGGACATTATCTATCAAGAAATTATAAATTTAACCTGCCCAGATCAATTTGAATGAGAAGGCAAAATAAAGATAAAAAGAATCTGTAAATCACTTCCTGAAATAAATTCCCAAAGGTAAATTCTTAGGAATGTCATTTTCAAAATACAGAGCTCCCATGTGAAAGAACAAATAAATACTACAGGGTTCCAGGACGAAGCTTCTCAAGTACGAGGAATAATAGTATCACACAAGACCTGGCAGCTTCTACTTTTAATGAGAGATTTTATACAGTATTCCAAAAGGAAAAGAAAGAGGCTCACAATTAAGAATGATGAATCTACAAATTGGAATATAATCTTAAAAGGAAAAAAAAATCTCTTAATGGAATAGAGAACTTTAAAAGCATTCCTGATTGGGGGAAAAAAACAGCACTGAGTTTGGAAATACGAACAAGAGCCAATAGAAATCTACAACGGTAAATTTATTTCAGAAATTGTAAGGAACATATGAGGGGATGTTGCTAACATTCTTAGGAGGGAGAAGAACAAGTATCCCTTCAGAATGTTGACGTTTTCAAAGAGTATTAAAGAGTAACATAAGAAAAACCTGAGGTCTTAGGAATGGAAGGGTTCAGTTCTGAGGGTTTTAATAAAAGAAAGAGAAGGGAAGATAAAAGAATGAAAACACTAGCATATAAAGGAGGATAAAAGGGGGATGGGAAGAAAAATACACACATTCAGGAAGAGATGAGGGAGAGTGGTCATCAGATGAACCTTACTTTTATCTGAAATGGACAAAGGAGGATTTAAACGAGAGTTTGATGTGAAAATGCATCACACTCAATAGGGAAACAAGCAGAGAAGTGTGGAATTAAGCAGTGGAAAAACTCTAGAGAGGGAATAGTTAAAAGCAAAACAAACTTGCTAATTCTAAAGAGGAGAAGAGAAAAAAAGAGAGGAAGAGGAAAAAAAGAACTAGAATGTAGGCGGTTATCTTAGATTGCCTCTTAGATAATTAGAGAATGGACAAATAAACTATGGAGTACAAATGTAAGGCAGTATTATTGTACCATAAGGAATGATGAAAACAATGATTTCAGAGAATGCTGAGTATTATTAACCAAAACATAGTGAAGTAAGCAGAACCAGATGAACAATTTATATGACAACAATATTGTAACAATGACAACTTTGATAGGATTAAAAAATCTGGTCAAAGTAATGACCAGTCATGTCTCTGGAGGATCAATGATGAGGCATTTTACTTACCTCCTGATGGATAAGTGATGGACACAAGGTGTAGAGCCATATTTTATGGACATAGTTACTATGTGGATTAGGATTTGTTTAATTATGCTCATCCCCTCAGTTAATTTGAGGGGAGGAGAAAAGGGGTATGTATGTATGTGTAGGAGGACGGATTTAACAATAGTGTTGAGAGAGAGAGATGGAGAAGAAGAGTGAGAGAAAGGGAGAGAGAGAATATGAATGAACTCCACTGAAACACTTTCAGAATTAAAGAAAAAGTTAGAAACAAAAATAACAAAAAACACCACTGGGCAGTACCAAAGGAGCAAGTCTTCAGTAAAAACTGTAGTCTACATATAATACCAGCTTCATTAGCCATTCCCACAGAGACTACATCAACTATTAATGCTTTTGATAGACAGGGAATATACTCTGGTGGAGTTATGGTTTAACTATGAATATAGAAAGAGTTCATTATTATGACCGAGCAATACTATATGAGGCACAGAGGGAAAAAAAAGACCAAAAGAACTTTTTTCTTAAGAGACTGAGTGAATAAACTATCATGGAGAAAGAGTTTGAAAAGACATTTTGAGACAATTAAATTTAACTCTTTTTTTGTAGTGAAGTTAGCTAAGAATTCCTGAGGGACTTTGACTTCCATTCTGAGAGAATTGTGGTTCTTATAATAAGGAGACATCAGCAGCTGCAGCTAATAGAGGTGACCCTGGCTGTGATCTTTTTTCATGGAAGATACATTCTAGAAATGTTTAAATATGTCTGTGTTATTTTTACATTGTTAATAAACTATTTAGCCAGTAACATTGATGTTTGTCTAAGCCTAAGAGACCAGGGAGATAAAGGAGGAGAGGAGAACAGGCAGAGTGGGAGGAAAGGGAGAGCAAAAGAGAATTTATGGGAAAAGCTGTTTCTCTGATTTACTTATAAAGTGGTATCAGGGATAGGGCTAATTATTAAGAAAAAAAGTCTACTGCTATTTATTTTCAAAGAAGTATCAAAATACAAACCTTTATATTCTTAGAACCCACATAGAGAATCAATGGGCTAATAGCAGGTAGAGAGGGTGAATTTGGTGTTGTTGGCCAGCTAGAGTAAGCACTTAATACTCATATGGATTGTAAGTGGGAACCATCCCTAAAGCCTGTTACCTACACATATGCATTGTATTTTCTTAGTACATGATGTATTTCAATATTTTAAGGAAGTATACTTCATTTTCCCTCCTTTGATGCTGCAATTCCTTTCCATTCTATGTAGATGGTTTTCAACAGGTGTTTGGGTAAAAAAAAAAAGTCATCACTCTGTGGTCAGCTTGCTGTTGAAATTCATCAAATTCATCTGAGCTGGTCCATGGACGACAAATGTGTGGGCTGTCATTGGGCCTATACTTAAGGTCTTTCCAACTTAGTAGAATCTGTCAGAGATAGATAAAGCTCTAATGGCAGACTTCAAGAGCTTAAAGTCACTTCTATGTAACAGCGAGGACTGAGTGTGGTAATTTTTTTTAATTTAAAATTCTTAAGACGCACGCTGAATGATTTATTTTTTTAGTTTTAATATTTTCATACTATAAATCCATCCCTCTCAGCTCCCCTTAAACATTCTATTCCCATGCCCCTTTCATTTCTACTTCCAGTAAAGAAGTTTCTGACAAATTGTTGTAAGAATATGTGTTCTTTATTAATAAAGGTATTGTTGTATCCTTTACTACTAGAAGTTTCAAGCTATGGCTTTTGTTAGTGCTTCTCTGAGGTCATAGAAGAAAAAGAAATCTAGGCCAGAAAGTTCCCAGTGAAATATGAATTTGACCAAAACTCTTTGCAAGGATCACTGAATTCCATATTTGATTACTGCAACAGAAAATGTCATTCTCCATTTAATACAAGCACTCTCAAAAGATTATAGAGGGCTTAGAAAAAGGAGGAAAATAGATTTGGTTCTCTTGAAATGTTTAAAAATACATATCTGATTCATATTAAAAACCATCATGTTCCCTCTCCTACCTACTCAAACCCCTTACCCCAGTCTATGCTCTATTGTCAATTGTTAATAAATCAAATCTAAAGAATTAAAAGGAACTTTA